ATTGATTTTTTTCTATTATACCTTGTACATTTTAAACACTTAAAAATTAACACAGATTCAATAGTTTTTATTCATTACATAATTAATCATTAATAGCAAAGGATTTGTATTTCATTAGATAAAACACAATTAATTATAGTATCTAACTAACACATCTAAATAATAAAATATATTTTTAATGGAAAATATAAAAATAATTACATATTTTTTTCACCATATTATGCATACTTCAGTAATTGAATAGGAAATTATTTGTATACATTAACAATTATCATTATTACCCTGCAATCAAATATAATTATAAGATTTGCATTGCAAACTAACCAAATAATTAACTTGTCTAGTAAACACTATACATAAATTAAATTAAAGTTAAAGATCAATTTATCATAAGATACATTTTGCATTATATTTCATTAATCACTTCAAACCTTCTCGCAAATTCGTCATAAGCATTAATACTCAAGGCTTGACATAGTGTTTCCGATGTATCTTGCATTGACCATCCGCGATCAATTCTCTCAATAGAATCTTGCACTAAATCTACGCGTATAGATGGAGCCTTTTTACCATTTYTTTCGCCAACACACTGCAACAATAGTAAGGACAAAACACCATTCATTCTTTTTAAGGTGTTTATCTCATCTGGATCCTTCCATGTACTATTTTGATTAAGATCTTTTAATAATCTTGTTCTCTCTCTTAAAAGTTTATTGATTTTAAGACTTCTATTTTCACAACCATAGCATGGAATTGTTACTTGACATCCCTTATCTACAGTTAGTGGAACTTTAGTTGTATTCAAAGGTGTACATAAACTTTCATTTTTTCCCAATAATTTGTGCACATTACACTTATTATTACTACTATCAGAAACRTTATTTGATAAACACTTTTTAGGTATACTTTTTACTTGCTTAAGGGTGTTTTCGGTTTCTTTCGGATCTGTGACTATGATCACTTCGGTGTTATTTCCTTTATCTTCTTCACATGAAGATAGATCTATGAGGCTAGCTTCATCTTCTGTTACAATGATGATTTCTTCTTCATCATCAGTAACAGTCTTTTCCAAATGGRGACTTGATACATTATTAGCAGTTTGTGGTAGTGCATGTAACATAAGTCCACCTTCAACGGCTGTTACTTGAACCATTTGATTTATTTTTTCTGTTAATTTGTTAATATTATATGATGGCTCTAAATGTTCTGTATTTAACTTTGTTGTTGTAGATATTTTCCTTTTTTTAGAAGGAGGATACGTTATTGGATTATCCATTGACTTTAATAATTTTAATTTGTCACCAAGCTTAGCATTTGGATTAATTTTTGGAGAAAAAAAACCTGGGTACTTTGTTACCATGCCATTCAGATGATTCTTTTCATTTTTTTGTTCCTCTTCATAATCTGCCAACAATTTATCTACAAGTTTTTTACGCTCTCTCTTTGATAACTCATCTTCAATATTTTTAATGTCTGTAATTTTAATTCCACCATTTAATGTTGGTACTGCATCTTTTTTCAATACTGTTATTGGATGCAATGACTTCAAAAAAATATTAAGAGGTTACATTTTAGATAAGAAATTGATACCAGATCATAATATACTTTACCTCATCAGTATATTTGTTTTCATAATTGTCTTTGTTGAAATGCTCTGAACATATTTGAGCATTTTGATATTCATGTGAAATTGAATYATAAATATTACAGAACTTCAACCATTTCTCTAACATTACAGTATCGCTTGGAAATTTGTGAAACACAATTTCACCGTTGCTATTTGGCTTATCTGAGCCAGAATACACAATACTGTTGTTGCAAATGGGAACAGCACAATATTTTTGTCTCTCTGATTGATTTAAATTTTTTAACTGTAAAAAAAAAACAAATGAAATTAAATCATAAGTATTTARCAATTGTATTTTTTAAATTTGGGGAGAATAATTTACATAATATTAGATGTTTTACATTTTTAAGTCAAAAATGATCAACTACAATTAAAAATAACTATAATTAATTTAAAAGATTAATTATGAGAATATAGTTAT